CGCCGGGAGCGGCGGCGGCTGCTGCTGCGTGGAGCTGAGGCTGCGGCCCCGCGTCCAGCCGCGGGCGCAGCGGAGCCGCGTGGTCAAGTGCAGCGCCAACCCCATCTTCAATGAGGACTTCTTCTTCGACGGGCTCGGCATGGCAGACCTGGCCGCCCGCAGTCTGAGGGCCAAGGTGCTGGACAGGGGCATAGGGCTCCGCAGGGACGTGCTGCTGGGGAAGTGTGAGACGCCTCTTATTGCCCTGCTGCCCCCCTTGGGTGGGGGACTAGGCCCAGGGGCGTCCCTGGCGCCCGCCCATCTCAGCCTGTAGACAAGACTGACGCTTCCTCAAGAGGTCTCCGCTGGGCCTGCCGTCCTCATTCTTCCCATCTGCCCATCATGTATTTATTTTTGCTAATAAAATGTCCGTTTGTCTCTAGCCGACCTCTCCCCTTGTTGGCACCCTGCAACCTCCCCAGGCGTGCAGCCTACCTTCTTCCCTCTGTCCAGACCATACACCGCATGGAAGAAGCTCCTTCGGATTGTCCGAGTTGGAGCCGACCTTAAACAGTGGTTCTCAAACTTGAAGGATTATCAGAATGACTAGACATCAGACATCCTGAAAGAGCTTTTTAAACATGCAGGATCCTGGGCTGAATCCCCCCAAGAGATGCTACTTCAGTAGGACTTGGCTGGATAGGTCCTAGGGTCTGGGTCCGACAAGGCCCCCACACCTTCAGGGAGCCTTTCAATCAATGAGTCACTCCAGCAAAAGCTCTGTGACTGAAAGCAACACGAGCCACCTTCCCCTGGGGTTCCTTGGGGCTGCGCAGGGGAAATTAGCACTCTCCTCCCACCCTCACCCCTCACATCTGTCCTGCAGAGAGATGAAATGTCTGAGTCTTGGGAGTGAGCCAAGGGGTGTCAGACTAACACACAGTGCCCTTAATTTTCCTGCCTCCCTCTTGCCTATCTCTTCCACACCTGTGCCACCCTGGGGTGCAAGGCTGGTTCCAAAAACCAGAGAAGCACTTGAGTACCAAAGGACTGAGATATAATGTCCCAAGGATTGAGATCTGGGGGAGGAGTGGTACTACTGGAGTGCAAGAGCTGTTTTCAGGGATGCAAGCTGTTCTCAGGCTACCCTGGTCAGGGGGAGGAGCGGGTGGAAGATGGATAAATGTGGGTCAGATTGTATTTACCTCTACCTGAATGTCCCTGACGTCAGCAGTGACCTTCTCTCACCCTTCCTCCGCCTTCCTGGGAGCTGGTTCCTTTTCACTCAGTCAGGCTTGGAGGAGGGAGGGAGGGAGGCACTGGGCCAATCCAGCTTCTTTCTCCCTTCCCCTTGGGCCCTTTCTCATTTCCCATGGTGCCAGCTGTGCCCACACCAGGGCTAAGCCTTCTGGGTCCCAACACAATCTCAGCACCTCAGCACATGCAGCCCTACCTAACACAATACGCGCACACACCCCTCCATTTAGATACCTTCCCAATTCCTCCTCCCTCTGCTGATTAGGTCCTTACCACCCAGCCCTAGGCCAGGGAAACCTTGCTCCAGGTGTCCACAAGGTGGTAGCATTGACCTAACAATCATAAGTGCTAACAGCTACATATAGATTATCCCCTCGCAAGGAACTATCCCAACAACTCATCAAGCCACTAATTCCTTCCAGCAACTCCCATAAGGATGTAAGTATATTGCTACCCAATGTGACCCTAGGACTTGAACGCTGAGTCTGGCTCCAGAGCCTGAGCTCTTCATCACCTCACTGTAATATCCCCAACTGCCAGCTGCTGCCTCCCAGCCAGGCCACTCTGAAACGGGCCTCCTTTCCCTAAGATGATAGCTCTCTAATCATATCACACCCGCCTGTTTGAATTTTGCAACTGTGAATTTGGGGAAGTCCACCTATATGTCTAGTTCTATCCCTGGTACTATACTGCTTCAGCCCCCAAATCCTCCCATAATGACCCTTGGTGAGCACCTGTATTTGATGCCCATTTGGAAGTATCTGGAAAGAAACTTAAAGGTCATATAACCTTCATTCCTACATTCCTTCATCAAATACTTAGGCAGGGTCTATGAAGTGCCAGGCAATGGAGACAGCAGTGATCAAAACAGACACAGGGATCAGACAAGTTACAAAATGAATCAGTAAAATGTAAAGAATGTTACTTGGTGATATGTTATAGAGAAAAATAAAGCAGAAAAAAGGAATAGTAAAGGGGGCCAGATAAACAGGAAGAAGTTTATGGGAATGGAAAGAGAGAGGGAGGGAATGAAACATTTGAAACATTTTTTTTTTAACCACAGTACTTTGTACCAGGTCCTGTACTTTACCTGTATTATCTCAGTTAATCATCACAGCTACTCGGTAAGGTAAAAGAAGTTTATGGGAATGGAAAGAGAGAGGGAGGGAATGAAACATTTGAAACATTTTTTTTTAACCACAGTACTTTGTACCAGGTCCTGTACTTTACCTGTATTATCTCAGTTAATCATCACAGCTACTCGGTAAGGTAATATTTTTATTCCCATTTTACAAAGGAGGCAATAGATCAGAGAAGTTAAATAAACTTGCTTAGGCATCAGCCCTGGCGCAAGGAAGGCTTCTGACTGTGGCTCCACCCAGACAACCTCACCTGCACCCCAGCCGCTCAGGGGAGCCTGTGAGGTGGAAATTCAAGGCCACTCCTCTCAGGAGCAGTTCACTCAGCATTCAGCTGGAGGCCCTGTGATGGTGGCCACAACGTCCCTGGACGTTCAAACATCCTGGCTAGCTAAAGCCACAGAAATAAGGTCCTAAGAATCCGTCCTGTGTGCAAACTGCTCTGGCCCTGAAGCACTTTCACAAACACAAGTCAAGACAGTTATTGTTGCCCCCTTTTTACTGATGTGGTAACTGAGAGCTGTGATTTGCCTCAAGGCCCACAGCTCATGGCAGACCACATTCTTACAGGTCTTTCTGCTCCAAAAATCAGAGCTCCTGCTTTTCAATCATCCTTTCTGCCTGTAAGCCTGTGACTATAAATGTTAATTGATAGATGAGAGGTCATCCTGGAAAGTTCAAGGCCAGGAGCTAGGGTCAAACTTCCACTGTTCTCTCCACCCACAGTGGCCTTTGTGACTGGAAGGGGGAGGGGTGGAGACTACAGGT